TGACGGCTCTTGTTGTCTGGGACAGCGCTTGATGGGGGGCGATATACCACACGCCCCAGTCTGCTTGGCAGGCGTTGTAGATCTCTGGGGGGCGATCCTTGACGACGATTGAGGTCACCAGATGAGCCTTTTTAAGATTGGGCATCTGCAGACACGCCTTTCCAAATGATTGCAGCAATGGTTCGATCAGATTGTCGTCCGGCGTCGGTGTGTCATCGCAATGAGGCACTGCATACTCCATGAACCGGTCGAAATCAAGCTCCTCTTCAACCTCTGGCGGTGGCTCGCCGTCATCGGCATATCCAGGGGGCATGGAGCTGGACGCGGCAATCAATTCCGGAGTGCCATCCAAGACTTCAGGACTTGTTCTCAGCCCGCTGAAATACCAACCATTCGAGGACCTGGAGGCGTAAAAGTCGACCTCGAGCGTTTGCAGATTTTGCCAGAAGGGAGCGACCAAGGAACGGCCAGGGCTGGGCCAAAATAGCGACTTATCGATTGTGCCACAGAAAGCAAGTGACTTGAGGTGGGGGAGATGTGCCGTCGTCTCTCGAATTGAACTGCACAAGTGATCGGCCATTCCATCAGGCAGCCTGGCTGCAAAAGAATCCTCTTCTCGGTTGAGGAAGAGGCCAAAATCACGAAGCTCAGTCGCTTTCGGGATGGTCTGCTGGACCCAAGTTGTTATGGCCTCCCGATTCTCGGCACGCAGCAGAGGATACCGGTCCTCCATGTCGTCCACCAGGAGCGTAGCCGATCGCAGGTTAGGGAGCTTGGCAGCAATCTGAAGAGGGACGCAATGGGCAACCTTCCGGCGAAACTGGGTGACCAAGAGGCTTTCAACAACAGGAACCTGTGGCAGATCGTCGGATGCCAAGAGTTGGATATACGAATAGAGGTAGCGTTGGTCACCCAAGTCGCTTTCGAAGAAAGACTCGGAAACATCATCGGGATCCATCCCAGAATATTCGGGGAGCTCATTGTCCGAAGGAGACATCAATTCGGTGATTTTCAAATTGAGCGAGGAGTCGATCGCCGGGTCCCAGGAGCTCAGCGATTGGAAGAGATGCTGAATGGCGGCAGTGAAGGCCTGATCATGGGCGCGACGGTCGGGCTCGCCTTCGTAGCGACGCCGCAGCTGCAGGTAATTATAGCTGGGCAGCCGGACCTTGTAGTAGATGGTGCGGATAAAGCGACGGCGATGACGCGTCGCGAAGAAGGAGTTGAAATCATCTATCTGGTCACTGGAGAGGATGAAGTAGCGGCAGGTCTGTTTCTCAACAGCCATCTGCCATGGCCGCGAGATGGTCGCATAACTGGCGAGCTGCGCCGTCGGCTCTGCGGCCAAAATGGACACAATCTCGTCGTAGATTTCCTGTGGGAGGTGATCCATGGCTGGCGTCTGCACGCTGACAGGGGCAGAGGCATACGAGCCAGGGTCGTGGCATTTAGCAGCCTGGAACCAGATGATGGTTGTGGGATCATCCGCGTGTGAAGCAAGAGAAAGACGCGCGGGGCCAAAATGCAGCGGAGGAAAGAAGCTCCAATCACGGTCATGCACCAGCCACGCATCAGCCACAATTCTCGCCACAAATGACTTACCTTGCCCTCCGCCATATGAAACCTACCCTATACTCCTCCCCACCGTATCGACACCTCGTCTCATACGATGAGATGTGCAAAAAACAAGTTGTGATGCTCAAATGAAGTACTCATTTGCTCGTTTTATTATCATATTGTAGCACACATATCAAACTCACAGGCATTATGCCATAGCGCGTAGTCAAATGGAAGGTTTTCCAGTTATTGAAGCACGTTGTCACAACGCTACTCTAAACACCATCGAATTCTTGCTACTGCTAAAGTCCCTGCTTAGTTTGGGTAAGAGCCATCGTACCACAGTCCACTCGAATAGCTGCTCCCAAGCACAGTCGACATGCTCACGGCCGAACTGAGCTTCTTTGACCAGCTCACACGTGTTCCGCTCGCACCGGAGCCTGAGTTTCCATACTCGGCGTAGTAAATGTTTGAAGTGGACTGTCCATCGCTCCATATCTTCCATCCGGCAGAATTGATGACATTGGACAGATTGACGTTCTGGAAGACTACGCGAGAATAGTCGCGCCAGGGTCGGCCCAGATAGTAGCTGCCGCTGGAGACGGACTCGCCTGATGCCGCTGCCACGGTGCCGCCGTTGATCACGTAGTATGAAGGGTTGGAGCTAGAGTCGCGTCCGTTTGCTAATTGAAATTTAGTTAGGAAAGTTCAGCAGAAGAGGAGGAATATTGGGAGTCGGGTGATTACCTGTGATGTAGTAGCCCCCGTTCCGGACCCTGATGTCGCATGACTCGAACCATGCCTGCGCTCGCTGTCCGAAGATAAAGTCTGTGGCTCCGGTGATGAGGCAACGGTTGAAAATTTCCAATCCCTCGTTGGCCAACACGGTATCCTGAAAGCCGTAGAATTGACATCCGTAGTAGCCAGAGGATGCCTGGGCACTGAGCGCAAGAGCCTGGCTTCCCTTCCCATCTGGAGGCGCCATCAATTAGTGATGAGCTCGGATTGACGTGAAGAAAGTATTGAAGAGAATCATCGGGTCACAAGGAGGGATCAAAAGGGGAATCACATACAAGAGTTCACGACATTGAGGTTGTATATTTTAGTGTTCGCTGCATGTACGCGGACCGTCGCACTTGCATCGTTGTTTCCTGCACTGCCGGCATTATTGTTGTATGTAATAATCGCCTTGTTCGCCGAGTACGATGTGGTGTCTGTCGTGTATCCGTAGATGGTCAACTGAGCTTGGCGTGATGGAATGTACACCTGCTCGGTATAGGTGCCTTGATTGACAAAGATGCACTGGGTTCCGGAGGCAGTCGTCGAGAGCGAGTTCACCGCAGCCTGCAGTGTAGTGTATGAGCCACCAGATTTGGCAACATGAACACATCCTGATGGTGGACTTGTTCGGCTAGCGGCAAGGACACCGGCGATGATGCCAGGGAGGAGGGAGATTGAGACCTTCATGATAAGTCAGATTGTTTCCAATTTGCAATACTGTCATAAACAACTGCAAATGTCATGTGCTTGAGACAGTCGTCTTTATATAAAGAGGCATCGAAAAGATTGACGGCAAGGGCAACGGAAAAAAGACACGGAGGTGTGGCAGTCCGTCTCCCAATTGGGAAGAATCCATTCTTTGGTCTGGGGATCGAACAGGGCCAAAAGGTCCGATGTGACCTTTCGAAATCCGTGGGCTACATTGGAAATACCGATTTGTGGATGGAAAATTTCTCGGGACGGGGATGCAACCACCGTAGGGCAACAATGAAACAGCTACAACATGGACGCGAAGCAGAGATTCGTGGCATAAGTATGGCCATGGACCACTTGAGAGGGCGGAATGAGACCTAATGTTGCATTTCCCATTTCGTATTCATCTTCTGACTTTCGTTTCGCGGCGAGCATTTGCTTGTCTGAGTTTCACTTCAAACTTCCCCGCATTCCGTCTTCTAGGCCCCTGGCTCATGTTGGCTGCGGTACTTTGGGGACCCGAAGGGTCTGGAATACGAGATCGGCATCGTAATTGACGTTTCAAACACCTCTCCAGGGGTAGCCCCCACAAGATAACTATACTCAAGCCAAACATGCCGTCTTGAGCTTGTCAAAATGAGATATGCGAAGTCCTCATGCTTCTCCGTTGAATTGGGTAGACTTAGGCGATGAGGGCATCATCCGCTGTAAAACATGGAACTTCGTGGGTAACGAATCATGTCACCATCAGTGCTGCCGTTTCAAGTGATGCAGTTTCAATGTGTTTCATCAAGCTTGATTAGAGCTATATACGAACCGGAATATACAAATTCCTCCGTAGTTATGCGCCGACACACAGGGAGCAGCTGCATTAGGGGCTTCATTCAATGTGTCAAGCAGAGACTTGAAACGCGTTGTTATTAGTTTTACCGCCTCCATAGCCTGGTCAATAGAATGATCTCCGTCCTGATCTACTAGCACATGATTAAATTGATGCTTAAATTTTGGGTAGATAATTCAAGACTGGAGTTTGAAAAGGCGAAAACAGTTATGTCAAGATCGAGGTGATTTACCAGGGCAGCAGGTTTTACGCACCGAAAATCCTGCACCGCAGGCTTCAATTTCAATGTGACAAGAGACAAAAATCTTGAGTATGGGTTCCAACACCTGGGATTCCTTTTAAACTTTATTGAGTTGCATTTAACAACCCCTCTGTGACATGGGAGGTGCTTGCAAGGCGGGTCCCCTCGTATGTTTTGAGACGTTAATTTATGACTTCTCACGTCTGCATGTTAGACTCTCGGAACCCCCCGGATATCGCCTGAGCGACTGGACCAGCCATGATTCGACTGGATTACAGCACGTCAGTGCAGGGTGGTTCAATCTAGGAGGGATAGAGAGAAGCAGGACACGGTGTCCTGTTCTTAGCATTGAATGATCTACCAAGTGTAGGAATTTCTAAGCGGACTCGTTAGTGTTTATATCCCGCCACGCCCATGACTCAATCGCGCCCTTCCACCGGGCTAGAGACAAGCGGTCATCCGAATTACTGGATGCGGTGGTTGCGGCGGCTTGCGGCGTTGGCGGGGGAGAGGAACAGACACGGGTATCCGTAGGCAATACGGGTATCTGTATGACCGCCATAGTGCAGATCCCAGGGGGCCTAGTGTAACCTGAAGTTCGTCATCTTTGGCTAATCAACTCGTTCGCGTGTCTAGGCTATCGTGTCTGACATCAAATCACACTATGCTCGGGAAATGGATAATTTCTCTCACTGGTGATTTGTAATGAGTCCGATATTAGCGTTGCCACCATGTCAATAACGCCTTTGCGAGATGAATATAAGAACGCATCAAGTAGAGATAGATGGAACGAGAGGCCAACCAACATCGCATTACAATCAAAACCCAAACACTACTCTCGAATCTTTCTATTGGTTTTATTCCAGACTTTAGTATTCAAGAAACAAGATGTCTTCTTCCAGCACCCTCCCAGTTTACCACTACCTGGACATTGGCCGACTCGGCCGTGGAGAGGTTCTCTTGTAAGCGATCCTGAATGACTTTGAAATATCATTGGACAAATCTGCTGACGAAGTCTTTGACTTGAACAGTCTGTTCCTCAAAGATGCTGGCATTGAGGTCAAGGATGTCCGTTACGCCTGGGACGATACTTGGCCAAAGACTAGCGAGAAGCTCGTTCAGCAAGGCTTGACCAGGACCGGAAAGCTTCCAGTGCTCGAATACAATGGGCTGAAGCTGAGCCAGGTACGTGCACCCGAAAGTATGCCGAAGTTTATTGTTGGTTGCTAACACAACTCGTTCTAGCACGTCCCTATTCTCCGTTACCTCGCCAGGGAGCTTGGTAGCTACGACGGAGTGACCTCTGTTGAGAAGTTCACTGTTGATTCTGTCGCCGACTTGTACGTTGACTGGAGAGTAAGTGCAAACTTCATAGAGTTCTTTCATTTGGAAATTCACTGGGCTAATATAATCAACAGTATGAGTGGGTTGCTTGCCTCCCAAAGCCATCCGACGACTACAAGGCCAGCCGCCCCAAGTACGTCGATCTCATCGCACAGTACTATGCCGATACTGAAGGCCCGTACCTGCTCGGAGACAAAATTACCTATGTCGACTTTGCTATTTATCAGTCCATTGACAACGACAAGCGCGTTGGAGCTGCCGTAAGTGACCAATTGTCCGATCAGCGGCTGGCAATTCATATGCTAATCTGCGAGAACCAGGCGAAACTTCCCAAGTCTCTTCTCAACTTGGTGGAGGCTATCGAAGCCAGGCCCAACATTGCCGCCTACCTTAAGGAGAATAAGGCGGCTTGAAGTTGGTCCGAGGAATAATTGAAGATTGATATTTTCGGGTGGGCTCGTTGAAACTACTTGCATTAGATGTCGTTGTCAAACGCGCTTTCTTGAAATGACTGTCTAGTTAGCAGACAGAGCTCACAAGTTGATTTTGAATGAATATCATATTGTCAAGGAAAATTAACTGAGACTTGTATGACGCTGTGTTTGAGAAAAAAAAAGAAGACAAATACTCAAAGCATCAAACCAATTGATCTGCTCCTGAGGTAAAGGGAAAGAGACCGAGACCGTCGCAAGCAACTATACGTGTATCCCTCCGCTACCTCCTTCTCGTAAGTCGTAACCAATCTGCATTCTTGAATCCGGAAATCGGGAGAACTAATAATAGCGATACCGGTAATCGCTGACGATATCCAAGGCAGCCTGCCGGCCACGCGCCTCGATTCTCGCCTGCACTTCCGCGGCATCTAGCCTCTCCTTTGCCGTTTTTTGAGACCGCGCTACGGCCGCATCAACACGCCGCTGGAGCTCGGGCGCGCGAACAGAAGGGAGCACATGGCGAGGTACGGGACCCCTCTCGGTCCAGACGCCGTAGTGCCGCAGGGCGTTGTTGAGCCCGCCGATGCGGTCGTCGGGCTCCGCGGCGATCTCGACGGCCATGACGTCGATGAAGCCGTTTTGGCTGAGCATGGGCATCCCGCCGTACGGCAGCTGCTTGGCCCTGGGGTTTCGGACTACTACCTTGTGGTCGAAGTACCAGGCTTCCCAGGCGGCTTTTAGCTCGTAGTCGGCCATGTCGTCTGCCGAGAATACCAGGTTCCCGTGACGGCTCCGCCTCCCTGGAGGTGTGCATGAGTTAATATGAGATGCGGGATTGTAGCACACCGGATCAAAGCGCGGATGCTATGGCTGAAGATAAGCAGGTGAATGAACGTACAAACATCGTCGTCTGGAGCAAAGTGGTTAATCTCCATGAACCCCGAGAACACTTCTGGCGCAATATACCCCGTGCCTCTGGGATCAAGTCTCTTCCAAAACTCCTTCATGAGGGCTTCAAAGACCGGTGTCGGCCGGCCGTTGGAGTAGAAGAAATGCTCATTCCAGGCCGACGGAGCTGGGGGAGGCTCATTGGGGACTGGAGGGAAGCCAGGGGGCACGCCGGTATTCGAGGATGTGTTTTGCTGCTGTCGTTGGTGGTAGCCAGGGGGGGGGCCGCTTGGGGGTGCGTACTCCTCCTCCTCTTGCGGAGGCTGCCCGCGGGGAGGCAGAGGTGGTCTGGACTGCATCGGATATCGTCTGATTCTTCACGCCCACTCAAGAACGAGGCTCTACTGGTCGCCGATGACGCACGAGGCGGTGGCGTTCTTCAGCTGTGGGATCTAGTAGGTGAAGAGGTTAAGGTTAAATCTCAAGAGCAGCCTCGTCTTTATTAGGAATGGAGATGGCTTCGACCCCTCTTCTCAGGCCTGCGGCGAGGCGCTCCCTTTGCATGCTGTCAGGTGGCCCCGGGAGGGAGCAGCTGAGTCTAGACTTCTGGAGGCCAATACTTGGCCCAATGAATCACGCTCTGTCCGCAAGGCATACTTTCAGCTCTGGCTGGTGGTGGGGACACAATGGTCCGCAGCCAAGCTGCATGTACGCATGTCCGCCTTTGCAGCTCGCGCTAGCTCATTCTGCTGTTGGGTAGGACCCTTGTTGTTCCTCTGATGCCGAAATTGCCGATCGCCATCCTATTGGAGATATTTACTGCCCTACCAAACGAGATGGTTTTGTTGCTCGAACCTGGGCAGTGAAGACTTGAAGACTGGTCGATATATGTGCGCGTAGGCCTGTATTTAAATACCTGGAATACCAGCAGGAGCTTTTACCGTTGGTGAAATGGCGAGTTGTAATGAATCCAGCCCATGAAGGCGTGAACAACGTGCTTCTTGGCGCCGATAACTCCGACTCCCCTGTGCCTAAAATCGAGCAGCCCAACAGGTTTGTGATTTTGCTAACAATGCCCAAGGCAAAGTCTCCGGAGCCTACCAAGGTAGAATGAAAAGGTTTTCGCCAGGGACAGTTTCAGGTGAATATATGATTTTACCCCTTTATATGTCATCAAGAGCATTGCTCATTAATACTCATTGGCTTGACACCGGACGAGGATTTTTCATGTGAAGCTTGCCAGCAAGTTCATGAATGTCCACTGTAAGAAGCGTTGTTCAGGGCTCTTTTCAAGAGAGTGCCAGACTGAGACATGTTTCCGGAATAGCCAATCATATCCTCCAAAGTGCTCATTGGTCATGTGAAAAGCGGGATATGATCCTAAATAAGTAGTAAACTAACCGTAATCGGACCACGAAGTGAAATTCCCGATACATCCGATGTTGGAACCGAGAGTCTTCCTGATCAATTGCACGTCAAAACAGCTTGCATTGTGATTTATTTTGGCCACTTGCTCAATGGGGCCCCAAATATGACTTCAGAGCAAGCAACATCTCCTCAAAGCTTGCGGAAGGCGCTCCGAGATCGATACGAGGCCCGAAGCCGAAAATCATGCCTTCCATGCAGGGAGCGAAAAGTGCGTTGCAACCGTCAACAGCCATGTGTGACTTGCATCAAACGTGGACACGCGGATCTTTGCTCCTATCCACGGTCCCACCAGCCGAGAGATTCTCGAGAAGGCAACAATCCCGAGGACAACGTAATCCACAACATTGAGAGCTCGCCTTCCAGCCCAACGGTCAGACAAAAGTCACAAGAGCAGAGTGACAGAGATGCGTCGCCCGCGAGGCCGTCATTCCTAGGATCTGGCTCTATCCTTACACTTGCCGGGCAAAACGAGGTGTCTCACGGTCAACGAAGTGGTAGACAAGAAGCCTTTGAAACTGGGATATTCCCTCTTTTCGGTATTGAGTCACAGATAACAGAAGACGGCCATATTCCTTCAAATGATGGTGTCAAACTGGCTTTCTCTTCTATCCCCCCTGATCAGGAGATCATGGAGCTTTTTAATCATTTTAAATCCCGCTTCTACCCCTTTCAGCCGGTCTTCTATGACGTTGACTATATTGAATCCGTCGTTTCATCCCTTATCGGGGGAGCAGGTCAAGCACTGAAAGTGACCAAACACTTTCTCTGCCTTTTCCATGCTATATTAGCGGCAGGAGCCCAGTTCTCGGACAGGCCTGTTGAACAGAGATCAAAACTCTTCCATAAGCACTGTAAGCCGTTTGATTCATTTACTCGATGGGTACTAGTTTTTGGTTTTCCTCACACGTGGTACAGTGCGACACGCTTTAAATCATCTCGGAACGTTTGAAGTAGTTTTGAATCCGACAATAGAAATTATTCAAGGCTTGATAGTAATATCGCAAATCCTGCAGAACGATGTGAACCCGCGGGGGGCCTGGATCCTCAGCGGCATAACCATCAGATCTGCGATATGTCTTGGAGTTCACAAGGAGGGACCGAGGTTGGAAAGCTCTCAGCTTTCCCCTAGAGATGCTGCAAACCTACGGTGAGGACTCTATCAAATTTGTCTACTTGGACATCTTTCTGTTGACAATACTGACTTATACTCTAGGATGGCCATCGTTTGGCAGGACACCCTCTTATCCATGGCATTTGGTCGAACTCCATCATCCCATGAGATGTATCATGAAACGGACCTGCCGCCACTGGGTCAGAATGGCTCTGCGTCCGCTGGACTGACCTATAGACAGGCGATGAACTGGATTTGTCATGCGTCAATGAAATACTTCGTTGTGCCAGCTTCTCCGCCTGAATCGGCAGTCTATAATGACATTTTTCGCACAATCGCTGAAATCCAAGCATCGTGTGCAAAACATATACGCGAAAGAAGCGAGTGTCGGTCTTTACTCGAGGTACAAGAGCATTACAGTTTCATACTGCACAGAAATTTTGGAATTTCATTCCTTTGCAGGCCAATTCTCTCTAAGCAAGGAAGACAAAAAATGAACCCACAAGACGCCTCGGACATTCTTTCTCGAGTTTTGGACGCGTTGAAACAAAGCGCCACGGCTTTTATATCCCTACGATCCATTTCCAACTACGCTACTCGGTCTTGGGCATTTCTTCACAATGGTCTCTGCTCTGCCCTGATGCTGGGGTTCATTGAGCAAACAAAGGGCCTGGAAGAAACCAAGGATATCCAGACCCAGCTTATAGCAAGCTTGGAAGCGAGCCAGGAGCTAAAAGGAGGATCACTTTCGAATGCTTATCAAAAAGCCCTGTGCGCCCTTAAAGCCCAGCGTAAGCTAGCAGAAGAGTCGAATTTGACAAGAACTACAGAGCTCGGCCAAGCTGCCCCTGAAGCAATCACTGCACCATCCCCTTCAATTGAGAACCCCCAATTTCAGCAAAACCTGTTGGATCCTGCAGACTTGAGGTAAGCTGTCTTGAACAACATGTTAACGTTTTGTACTGACATGAGCAGCTCATTTGATATGGACGAATGGGTGCGCTCCGTGGATTTTGGCTCTTACTCGCCACTGGAAGCATACGATTTCATTATGTCGGACCAATTTGCACCTGGCTCTCTTTTTTAGAACTATATCATGACCGGCCGGTCTCGTCAACATGACATCTAACTCACCCCTTACAATAAGTCTATGACACTCAACATGTCGAAATCTATCTTGTACCTTAAGGTTAGAACCCGTAAGAGTGCCAGCGATCAAGGACCTTCTGCTTCAGCTCAGGAGGGAAAGACTCCTTAAAGTCGGCTGCTTCCCAATTCTTCCCAGTTGTATACTCCACTGGGAGCAGGCAGTCACACACCAACTTGCCTCCCTTGTTCGCAGGGCCATTTCCATGGCTCATGTACGGAATGAGCGGGAATCCAGGAACGTCTTCGTAGCTGTACTCATCCATGACGGGGCGACAGCGAGTGGAGAATGCCCAAATGACCTCCTTGAAGTCGTACACATCGATGTCATCACCGACGAGAAGCAGCCGATGAATGGTGGCTCCGGGCTTCCCTCTGAAGATCAAGTCTCCCACCTGTCTACAAAAAGCCTCCGCACTCGTCTTCATTGCCCGTAGCTTTTCGGTGTCGACCTGTAGCGCAACCCATGTAACTTGAGATTCAAATGGGGAGAATGCTTCTTTGATAGGAAGGCCGTTGGATTTGAGAATGTATCCTATCTCCGCCGCGGCAAGGGGCCCAATCATTGTGTGCTGAACCAGTTAGGAGTCTGACTTGAAATTGATTCATCAAGAGGGGGCTCACCGTCTCATCTGTAAGTCGGCCACAGGCACAAACTGGCAGAATAGCATCCTTTCGATGAGTAATCGTGTTCACTGTATACACTGGCATGAAGTGCGAGTCGCCTTTGAATACATATCTAGAAACTTTGTAAGTAGGTGACTCAATTTGAGAAGAAGCGAGCTGGATCCTCTTACCCATGCATTTCTCCGAAGGGGCCTTCAGTTGCTGTTTCCGTAACGGAGCAGGTTCCTTCGAAGACAATCTCAGATGTCGATGGCACAAACAGGTCAATGGTTTCACACTTGACAAGTTCAAGAGGTGAATTGACCATGGAACCGATATACTCAGCCTCGGTAAGACCATCAGGGAGCGGCATACTGGCTGCCATGATGGCTGCTGGCGGAACACCAAAGGCTAATGCATATGGCATATCCTGACCCAGTTCTTTCCACATGCGGTGAATGACAGCGATGTGCTGCGGAAGCATGACGAGCCCAACAAGATGGTTCTTGTCATGGACCATGGCTCGGGCGATGGACCAATTAGTCCACTTTCCGTCTGGCGACCGGACAATGAACATTCCATAGGTTTGGACGTATTTTCCTCCGTCGGCTTGGTGGAGTGTTGGCGACGGGAGCTGATTCAGATCAAACTGGTCAGACGTAAGGCGGAACTCCTTGCATGGGCCCGTTTCGACAATCTTGGGAGGAATGGGAGGCGTGGTTTTGGCAGACACCATCTTGTCAAGTATCTCCTTCATTGATGATGTTGGTGGAAGGTTAAGATGTCGAGCTAGCCTTCCGTATCGATGCCTCGGATCAGACCTGAGGGAGTTCGGAGCACCCAGAATTCTCCAAAGGCCATTCTCATTCTGCCCCTTGAGATTATTGAATAGGGGCGCCCTTTCGTCGCTCTCGACAACTTTGCGGATGATTGCGCTGACTTCTAGGTTCGGGTCACACTCTTCATTGATCTCAACGAGGTCGCCATCATCTTTGAGAGCCTGTACGAATGCTCGGAATTCCATGTGAGGGAGGGCCATTCTATGTTATCAGCAGGGGAGTAGAGTTCGAATTTGTGTTTATCAAGCAGAGTTGTTGTGCTTGCTACGATCAGATTTCAGGCATGCCAAACAGCCGGTCTTATACACATCTCAGTCACGGCATCCCAGATCCGAGGCTAACATTTTAAGAATTCTTTATGACATAAAATTGGTCAGAACCACGTACCCAGCGTGCTCCGAGCAAGTCAAAGCGGCATTATTCAAACGAGGCGGCGCATCTCGGTGGCCTCGGGGGACTCGGAGAGCTCGGAATATTCGCATTGGCCACGCGGAGGACGTCATCGAAGGAATTCGGCACTGAACTTCCGCCTCATTGTTCGATATTTATATTTTAAGAGGAAAGGCATATAATTCCACTTTGGTCGGCAATTATACTGTTTGCAGTACACTGTGACTCTAGGAATTTCCAAGCACGACATCTAGGCCTCACCCCTCGGCCCTCTCTTACATCTACCAAATTCCAGCTGCACAATTTGAAAATGGGAGTGCCCAATCGCCGGAAAAGAATTATTGTGGCACTTACCGGGGCCACCGGGGCTGCCATTGGAATCCAGATCCTTCAAGTTCTCCGGCGGCTCAACGTCGAGACACACCTCATCATTAGCAAATGGGCGGCAGAAACAATCAAATATGAAACTGATTACACCCCCACGACACTACGAGCATTGGCAGACCATTCTTACAACTCGAGCGACTTGGCCGCACCGATTGCAAGTGGCAGTTACCGAGTGGACGGGATGATCGTCGCCCCCTGCTCCGTCAAGACGCTTGCTGCTATCAATGCGGGTATCTGCGATGACCTCATAACACGGGCGGCAGATGTGTGCCTGAAAGAGCGCCGGAGGCTGGTGTTGTCAGTACGGGAGACACCATTTAGCGAAATTCACCTACGGAATATGCTGGACGTGACACGCGCAGGGGCTATCATTGCACCGCCTGTCGTCGGGTTTTACACCAGGCCAGGATCTGTCGAGGATATCCTGGATCAAATGGTAGGACGGTTGCTTGATTTGTTTGACCTAGAAGCTGGGAACTTTGAGAGATGGGAGGGTATGCATACGCATGGCTCTACCAATGGAAATCATGTAAAATGAGTGTCTTCTCGACTGATCACCGTAAGAGCGGCTTCGATTTTCGGTAGCAGCAATCGGTTATTCATTGAAACGAATCCAACAAATTAAACAATCAATAGAAAATTACGCACAATCCATATATATTTGATAGTGATCCGACTCCAACAGGCCGAAATACCAAATTATGTTGTCAGCACAACCAGCTCTTGTTCCGAATCCGAAAGGGTGTTTGTCAAGAGGAAGGTTCTATCCTCCGGAGTTTCCAGCCAGGATCTCATTCTGGTCAGTTGATTCTCGTCCTCTCGTGTAAAACCGAACATCAAAATGCAAAAGCAATGCAACGACAGAGCAAAATGCGTAATCTGGGAATCGAACCCAGGGCTCCCCGACGCTGCTCGGATGGCAACGGAGAATTTTACCACTAAACCAATTACGCTTGTTGATGACTTCAGGGGTCTTGATTTGGCTCTTGAGGTGACAGGGTTGAGGGCTGACGGTTTGCTCTCACCCTAGACTCAGTTCTATGATGCTTCGTGAGTACTTCTAAAGGAACGGTCTTACTACTAAAAAGTTGAAAAAGGATAAGAATGCAATGTCAAATTAAGAGTCTAACGAAATAGTGAAAGGAATCATTGTACCCCTTGAGTATGCTATCCAAATTTCCTTCTACTTTCTTGCTCCTCTATACAATCTGTTGTTTCAATTGAGCCCGCTGAACGATCGAACCTCTTCTTACTTAAGTCTTCGACCCTCTATTATTATCTTGTCGCATGACACCGCAGTCAAGCATGCCTCACATCCACTCTACCCTCGATACCATGTTGGAGCAGATGATGAAATCAGCTCTCGGCAAATTTGGACCTAGCACGTAATTTCTTTCCAAAGGCGTAAATGGCGACTGTCCCAAAAATACCAGCCACGCTTAGGCCTGCAAGGACTGTCACTCCTCTGTCCACACCGAGATTGATAAAGAGGGGCCTGGCGAAGACAACGGCACCACCAGCAACCCCTGACCTCCAAATGCTGTTTCCCGCGAAAAGAGAGGCAGTGTATTTGGGGTAAGAGAATGGGATGTAGATGAACAGAGACTGCATGACCCAGAAGTGTCCAATGACGAATATGACGACGCCAACCAGCGGCACTGCCCAATGGATGCTGGACCTGGACGTCCACGCGAAAATAAATAGGCCAATGGGTAGCAAGATAGACCCAACAATGGCTGGCACCAGACGATGCTCTTGCTCACGGAACCCATTCCTGATATTGTCAGGTACCATGTAGTACTTGAGGTACGCAAAGTAAGCCGTGATACCAATAATAACGCCAATAAAGCAGGACAAGAAAGTAAGACCAGTCTCCCCAAGGCCAAATCCGTAGAACACCGGGAACACAAGAGGAAAGACTTCGAAGAATGTGTAAAAGACCCCATAAAAGTACCCTGTGTATAGGTTGACGAAGAAAATGGAAGGGTCCTTGAGCATAATCTCCATTGGTCTGACGAGTGCCGAGAAGACAATGTCAGAAGCCTTCATGTGTCGCTGATCGATCTCGCTTTGGGACTGAAGTCGTTCGTTCCCAGTCAGCTTCCGCAATCGGCGTGCGCGTCTTGAGAGAATCGTCGCAGAGGATGTCTCTGGCATGAAGAGCAGTAGCAAGACTAGAGCCGGTGAGGCCATCCAGACAATCTCCCACATTGGCCATCTCCACCCCTTGTACTGTGCAGCGAAACCTCCAATGATGGGTCCAAAGGCAGGGCCAGCCCAAGCCGCAAACACCCACCAGGAGAGTCCATATGGAATGTAGATCAAGGGGAACATATCGCCTATGGTCGCACCACCATTCGCGAGGGCAGGGCTACCAAAGAAGCCGAGGAAAAATCGCAATGCCAAGAGGCCGCCGAAACTGTTGACGACAGCTTCGGGAAATGAGAGAATCCAGAACAGGATGAACGTGAGATAATAAACAGGATTGCGGCCAATAACAGGGATCTCGGATAGAGGAGCAAAAAGGAGATCACCAACGCCGTATGCTAGAACATACAAAGCCAACCCGAGTGTGGAGGCAACAGCACTGACATGGAACTCCCCCTGTATACCTTCGACTGCGGTGGCATATATAGGGCCTGCACAGTAGACAACCCAAGTATAGAGGCAGAGGACGGACGTGACAAAATATTTTTTCGAGCGAGACCAATTTTGAGGGTTGGCTGGATCATCGGTGGTGTACCAATCAACAAGAACAATGCCATCCGCTGTCTTTTGAGGCTCGATCGGAAGCGACTTGGTCTTCTGGAGTTGAACATCGCGCTCGGCATGCATTCTCTCGCTGCTGTATGGTGTAGTGTGATGACTTCGGACAGTCTCTATTCGATGAAGGCTTTCCTCGTCAACACCGCCTCGGTGGGTCATTTGGACATTTTCAACTTCATGATGATTCGTATGGCCAGCCGGGGTACTGTCGCTGTCGTTCGGTGTTGTCTTCTCGCCTGTCTTCTCGCTTTGCTTGAGACTGTGAATGTATTGGGACGGGATCTCAAATCCAGGCTTTTCTTCCGGATATTGTAGGAGTTTGTTCCGTGAGATGAGGCGGATTGCCTGCCCGAGAGGCGTCTCCCGGATTAAGTCTAGCATCTTCGGGTTGGAGGAGGAGCAATTAGAATGATTTAAGATTTGGCAGTTGACAACAGTGGATGATGTCTCGTTATGTGAATTCTCTGGTTTTTAAGCTGTTAAACAGTCTCCTTTGGAAATGGTCGATGAATATATATATCTACAGGTCCTAATTATGACACTCCTGGCACGATTGATGACAAAACATACGGACAGACCATGCTTTCTCTCAAATCCTAGTTGACAAACCCTGTTGGCACTTTAATTTCAGGCTACCACGTAAAATGACCGCCCTGGGCTGGGATTCCAATTGATTGAAATAAGCAACTGAGATAAAGTCAAAGTTGTCTAACTTAACAAGACGTTTAACATGGGAATCAATTTTCCATTCTGGGAGTAGCGCTAAATTTCTGAAGATCTGCTTCCGTCATTTGTCAGAACTCTGGCCATTCCGTTATTCCGCATCTCCACCCCAGCGCAGGGAAAGACGGAGGATCCCCTTCCTTCGTAAGCATATTGTATGTTCCATGGCGTCCTTCAGAATTTCTATGTCCCAAATGGCAATAAAAGCTCAGGAGCTTGTTCTTTGTTGAATTGGCCACTAGTACTCCCTGGCCATCTGAAAGATAACGTCCTCTGTCTAGTCCTCCGTGAACATACCTGATCGATCCACGTAGCCCAAGCTTGCTATAATCAGAACGCAAACCAACCCATTCCTACATCGAAATCACCACCAAACATTCCAAAATCTGAAACACCACGTGCTCGTGATTTGTCAGAAGTCTGCACTAAGAACAACATCAAAATCCGTGGTCATGATCAAACATATGCCATTACGAGCTGTAAAGTATGTTTTCATACATCTTGCACCGATATGACGACCGGCCAACTACTCTCATTGAAAGAGATGGTAATATTCTAGTTCTTTCTAGTTCAATTCTTGAACCATTGAGGGAATAGAATGCGCAGTTCCTCCAAGCTTTTAATCTGATGCTGTGAGGCCTGAGATGGGGGAGTTGGAAAGCCATCCAGGATCAAATGCATTGCAGTCCATCCAAAATCTTGCGCACCTCGACAATTCAAGTATGAGTCATCTGTTCACATGTCAACAGACAGAACAAGATAGTGGAAAGGACGTGAAGGTCAGGTATCGTCCTTCGAGGTAGGCCACTCACCGACAAAGTAGCAATCCGCGATACTTTCGATCCCTGCATCCTTCATCGCTTCCTGGAACTTTTCTCTTTTTGGTTTATGAAGCAGTGGAACACGGGCATAGTCACAAAATGACAACCCCTCGAAACAGTCATCGATTTCCAAATGCCGCACGACTCTCTTCACGTATACATCGTCTGCGTTGCTGAACAGCCACAGCCGAACCTTGGACCTGTCGATGTCTTGCAACAGTTGTCTAAGCTTAGGATCGGGCTTAAGGAGGCTCTCGATAGGGAGGCCTTCGTCGATTGTGGAGTTGTAGTGCTTCGCGTCGATACTGTGATGACGGACCAGGCCTTCGGGCAAAAAGCCGTATGTTTTGGAGTATTCAGCGCACAGTTCGGCGCCCTGTTCCTTATCCAGCCCGATATGATTTTTGATATAGTCATATATCCCTTCCCACGCCTCCTCCGCGACTCCACTATCTACTCGCCATACAGGTGAGTCTATGTTGATTTTCAGAAATGAGTGAGCTCTCTAACACTTACCTTGAGGGTACAGACAGTTGTCAACGTCACTTTGAATGTTAACTGGGAACTTCCAACAATGGGCTGCCGAACTTTGGTAGCGTACAAGAACAACACCGGTTTGGTAGGATTGTCCTTCTCAAGCAGTGCTGCTGGTGATTGCCCAGGTTCCTTAGAGAATGCCATGCCGACCAGCTTGCAAGTCAATATCGCCGGGGTGGCAATCAAGCAACGAAAGGGGTGGAAACTGGCGTTGTTTTATACTAAAGCGAAGTGTCTCCGACGAACAATGGAACGGGAAGATATATATCTCTCATATAAAGGGAATATCAGACGATCTGGGACATCTTGGGATCCTCCCTGCCTTAAGTAGCATCACGCGGATGCCATTAGGTCAGCATGCTTACGAATAAGCGGCCCTATCCCTAATAACGCTAGTAATAACTCAGAATATATTAAAGATTGTGGTTCGCCTCAATATTCCATTTGTTCAGTCACATCATCTGGTTTGCATTAATGGACAGGTAGCGGAATGCCTATCTCAGTTCAGTAGGTAGGATGGCGTGTGACGGTAGTACTAGTCTCGAAGTGCCATGGATTTAGTAGACGCATTATTGTCATTAGTGATCAAGGTAGAGTTATTACTGGATAGAGACTAAAGCTGAACTTGCATTTGGGGTTTAACAAGAAATAACTATAGTTATTCAGTTGAATAAAGTTTATTATTAAGAAAGCAACTAAATTTCCCTTCAGTGTTTATTCTGTTTAGATATTAGGTCTAGCATATCCCATTACTATCTTTTACTGCATGAGGTTAGTTACTCGAACTTTATCACCCCGACGGATTTGCTTTGGACTTGTTCAATGGCTGGTATATAGAGGAGTGAGATCGCGGGTGCGGGCGCAGCATGCATGGGTCACGTAAAACTGTTCCAATAACAAATTGCTGAGCAAGAGTTTCATTGCTTAGAGATCTACGAGAACCGCATCATATAGCTTTAGTAGGTTTGTTGTTGTGTCATTGATATCTCGCCTCAAGATTCCCTTTCTCCCTACAGACACGAATTTATTGCCACTTTCACAAGTTTCAACTGCTATCGGCAAACCTTGTGCCTACAGAGCAAGGCTTCTTAAGTCCTCTGACAAATGCCTCCAGGTGAGCAGTAGGTCCCAGGACAGCAGTAGTGAGACGGGATCTAGGTCGCGAGTCAATATCCGCCCGGCCCAACTATTTCAAGGACAATGATTATACTTACCAAAGGGGTACGAGTACAGGCCTGGTTCAGCCTGCGGCAATTTTGACCAAGCGCCTTTCCGGCAAAGACAGCCAAAACAGCAAGGACGATAGATGCCTTCATTGCGCTGGTAGGTGTTCAGTGGCGGGTATGTCAGGCAATCGAGGATCTAAATAAGGTGTTGAAAATGTAAGAGTGTAGAGGATGAGATGAAAGAATAATCCAGACTCTGAATTGGTATGCTGTCGTCCTTTATATACTTTTCACAAAGCCGACCCAGGACTGACTTCTTGCTTCTTGCTCTGTGGTATTTGTCTTTCCCCCACATGTATGTCTCAGGCATCATCCGATACTGCACCTCATTGAGGAAAGTAATAGAACGCTCGGTCCGAGACCATGCATATGTGGCGCTCCTCATGACACAACCGGCATGAACTTATGCACTTCTCAGGTGAGGACGCCTACCTACCATTACAAGGGTTCCCAGCCCCGTTTCAAGGACGTTGTCGCACAAATATGACCACTGCTTATGTTCACAGGACTAGAGCTGTAATAGCTTAGACAATTGGTATATGGTTCCAAAATCAATCGTTTGAGATAGTTGTTGATGGACGAAGAGCGTCAATATTAGTGCGACCTGTGTATACTTAACCAATATTGGTGATTTTGTGCTAAATAAGTGTCCGAAGATGCCTACTCGCGTTTTTCCTCAGAAGAAACGTAGTAGCGATATGGGGAAGGTGTTGAATACGAGTTACGACTTCAGCTGAGAGAGGCAATCAAAGGATCCGTAGGATTCGAAGCAAGCAAGACATTCTATGAAGTAAGAGTGCGCCTCTCCGCCGTTTCATTGGGAGAGTGACAGCTCTGCGGGGCTGGCGGCATCACCATCTGCCGCCCGAGACACCCTGGTGGCAATCGTCGGCCAGACCATGACAAAGAGGCAGTGCTTGGCGCTCTTGGCTGCTTTATAACGGGGCGTTGCGGCATGAGCTGAACTGTGTTGTGGGGAGGGCTGCGTGTACGCCAGAATCCAGACCCGGAGGTCTCCAATAATGTGGTGGGTTGCAAGTCTATTGGAATCCTTAATTGGCCACTTGACGGACAGGCTCGTGCCCAAATGATTCAGATTTACTTGAACCAATGAGCAGCTGTATCATCTTGGCCTCTTAACCAATATTCATGAAATGATCGGCCCCCTTTGGCCAAAGGAGATACGAACAGAAAGCAGGAAACAGTGTGGAGTAAGACGTCACTATGACTCTTTTGACTGATTGTCTCATAGAAATCGTTGCTTATCATTCCAACGCTCTACTCGGGCAAGATATGTTAGCTCGCTTTATCTCTGGCCATTCGTTTGTATTGGTGCGGAGTCGACCACTTCCTCCAACGCGTATATATAGAGAGGGCAAGGCATTATAGTGTTAAAAGGCCTTTATTGGACTGTTTCTTCAAGCCGTCGATTACGAATCATTAGAATCCTATTCACCTGATTACTTTCACTGGTCGCTCCTCTTATCCCCCTAGATACCAAGTATTCAGTTGCCTGCTTGTTAAAACTTACGATCCTTGTATCCCGCTTAGGTCTATGCTAGTTCTTGAATACAAATTCCATATACCCCCAGTATTTAGTTCTGGAAGATTCTTTAACATTGAGGACTGAAGATAAAGCCTTTCCACGAATAAATACTGCTCATTAATACTTAGAAATTCTCCACATAAATCAGACACAGATAGAGTAAGTCTATTGCACGGCTGGCGTTTCAAGCATTCTCTAGCATAGCATCAAGGTATAGGTAATTTCTTTCTCCTTTGAAGAATATATACCGATTTAAACTCTCTATGAAGAGTTAAAATAGCATAAGTTCAATGTTCACAGGTAGCTTAGATGATATATATTATGTTTGTTTGTAATATAAATGCATCAATTGATAAGATAAATGCTATTTTAACCTGCAACCGTTGCAAAAGGTGGCAATAATGCTCAAATATACAGCTATGAAGCTCAAGGGTCACTTAGTGCTTCTACCAGACGGTGGGGTTGCCGGACTTGAGGTGAGGAAACAAGCTGGTAGTGCCGTTAAGCTTGACCTGGATAGCTTGAGCAAACGCCTTGGCGCTGAAATCAGCACCGGCAGCGTCGGTGTGCTTGTGGTCCTGAGGGTAGAATGCGTTCGTTGCAGAGTTGCCGAGCTTCTTGTAACCCTTAACGACAGCTTCGTAGTGGTCTACGAAGGTGACCGCAGGGTCAGCCAGCGCGTCACGGGCCGTGACCTGGTACCCGATGAAGCGGTCGTAGCCGGGCTGGAAGCTGCCGGTGATCCAGAGATTGTTGGGCGTGTGCGAGCTCAGCACCACCGTGGCGCCCTTGGCGGTGAACAACTTGGCGGCCTGAGCCACGTAGAAGACAAAAGTGTACACCTTCTCGCCCGTCTTGCCCGACGTGCACACCTCGGTGCCGGAGCCGCCGCAGACCGAGCGGCCGTTATCGTCGGCGCCGTTGGGGCTGCCGACGTCGTTGTGGCCAAACTCGATGACAACAACATCGCCGGCCTTGACCAAGTTGGCCACCTCGGTGAAGCGGCCCTCGTTGGTGAAGGAGCGCGAGGAGCGGCCGCCGATGGCCTTGTTGACCACAGGAAGGTTGATGTACTTGGAAATGTGCTGGCCCCAGCCGTCGATGACGCCGTTGCCTTTGGCCATGGTACTGTCACCGCAGAGGTACAGCGTCGGGGCTAGTTCAGCAACCTCTGCGGGCTCGGCGACGGGGGAGGCCGTAGAGAGGGCGCCGAGGCCCAAGACCAGGAGGCTGTTGAAGAGCTTCATGATGAACGGCGGAAATGATGCAAAGTAAGAACCGAAAGCCGGGTTACCTGCCACGTTGTGACTATGGGCGGGATTCCCAGACACATATATACTATTTCCCGAGCATCAGTTCTGCAGGACCAAGACCAGTTTACCCATCCGGCCTTATTTGACCCGGAACAACACTATGGCCTCGCACTATCTCAACTTGGCCCGGAGACGCTGATCCGTTCGACTAATTGATACTGTTGCAACCCATATGTTGCCATTTCCGCCAGTAAAGGCGCAAGGGGAATGTTAGATCTACTGCCCCCTGTAGAATCTAAATTAGCAGCTCATCTGACCATAAACCAAGCTTATTTGTTCGCTTATTTGCACTCCCGTCCCGCTGGATGGGGCTGGGCATAGGGCTGTTTCGGTATAAATGAGAGGATCACCTGCAAGATATGGTTATTCTTGCTCACCTAGCGCGGCATTTGCTGGACTGACTCGAGACCCCGCAGTTTACTTGATCGGAAAAGGAGCTGAGGGAGGATTGAGGCAGTTGCCAAGGTAGAGCATGTCACCGCGATCTTGGCAAGGTGTGAGCATCGTATTGAGTGGATCTCGTGATTTCGGACAGTGTGTCCCGAGAATATGTTGGGCGATTTCGACTTGCCAAGCTTTGGTCCCGATATCCATTCTGTGAAGCTGGGTTCTTCAAGTGGAGATCCAGGTCGTGATTGCGGCCGATAGAATTGCTTCAAGTAAGTCGTATGAAATCTCTAAGCTAGTTATTGTTACTCAGTTAAGTGAAAATGCTTGTACATTGACCGTTATTCATCGTCATCAGACTGTATGATGACTATAATGTTTGACCTATTTATCCGGAGGACTGAAACCTCTAGGTCGACAGAACGTGTCCTCATGATCTCTGTTAGTCCTTAGATGAATGAAGCGTGGCTCGAAGACGGCAATGCACAGAACAATGCCTGCCATAGAATATTCCATAGAATATTCTGGTGAAAAGATCAGAGATTGATTCGGTTCTGCTTCAGCGAATAGTGACTTTCAAAGTTGGCCAAACGTTTCGAATTGGAGGAGCAAGGGCTGGCTACGGTTTACTCGGAGCTGAATAGACATAATTATTCCATGCACAAAAATCGTAGCTCGCTCACGGCGAATGACATAAAGTAGAAAATTTCCATAATGATCTGCCACAAAAACAAAAGCGTGGCTTACACTCCAAGATTAGCCAAGTTTGCTAGGCTTAGACCAGTCCCTTTCATGGCTCACCGTGAGCAGTAACCAACTGCATCACTGGAGCCTGGTTTTGTGTCATTGCTGCAGTTATCACCACAACATCGAGACCCAGGACATGTACGAGCAGGAAGGCGACGCCAGTAGCAGTTGGGTCACTAGTATTACAATGGTCTTTGGGCCGCCCTCTGCCCTCTCTATATTGGCACCTCGCTCCTCGGAGCAAATCTATGCCTTTTACTAGAACTCAATATAGCCGTGAGGCTCATTTTGTTCAGAAGTGTCCCAGCAGATGGAAAGACATTTTTGGCCTAGGATATTTCATGAAGGAGGAGGGTCTCCTCTGTGGAATGAGACTTCAGTTGCTTATTGTTTCGGCAGCCTCTCGGTTACATGACAGTGGCAAGCCGTGAAGTGGCCTAAAAAGACTGCATAAAGGGGAGCCGCCAACATAGCCAGCATCCTGTATCATGCGCCAATGGACTTCATGATTGTTGACTGTCTCCTCCTGGAGCAAGAGGTCCTGCTACGTGGGGGCTTGTAGACCTCGCCTGGCACTAAGACGACTAATGCTTACAGCCCCTGTAACTGATGAGCATCAGCCAACACTGGAACCAACAGCGACCAACAGCCAGAGCCGTTATTCCGACAGTGGGATCGTCAAGTAAGCAGTCCCAAGATCATATAAACACCAACTCGCCAAGTTGGCCGGTCCGCTTTTGCCTTGTCCATCTCCACCACTCCACATCAACACCTCAGAACTTGATTCAATACCGTTCATTATGGCTTCCCAACAGATCTTTGACTATGTCATCGTGGGGGGTGGTGCTTCCGGACTAGTCGTCGCTAACCGTCTATCCGACAACCCTGAGACCAGCATCCTCATTCTCGAGGCCGGCGCCGACATGAGTGACGACCCCCGCGTCAATATCCCCGCCTTGTGGACGACTCTAATGTCGTCCGATGCCGTCTGGCAATACCAAACCATCCCCCAACCTGGTATCGGGGGACGATCAATCAGGGAGCCCCAGGGAAAGGTTCTTGGTGGCTCAACGGCTGTCAACGGCCAGACATATGTCGCCCCCAGTGCTGCTGATTTCGACTCTTGGGCCTCCCTCGGCAACCTTGGCTGGGGCTGGGACTCAATGGGCTACTACGTCAGGAAGCCCTTCAGTCTCCAGCTACCAGTCGATCAAGAGACGTCAGATCACCTAGGCTTAGAGTGGCTCAAGAAGGATATCCACGGGTCCAACGGCCCCCTCAAAATTTCTTTCCCTGGTTCCAAGGAGAACCCTCTCGTCAAGGCTTGGGTTGATGCTTTCCGCGGCATTAACAAGACTATCTCCGATGGTATGTCCGAATCTAGTAAAAACTCTAAGGTCTCGGGGGATAGAACAAAGCTAACTCGACATCACAGATCCCTTCTCTGGCGTCGCTATAGGTGGCTATAGCAATGGCGCGACTGTCGACCAGGACACCAAGACTCGAAGCTATGCAGCCTCAGCCTACGGTGCTCCTCTAAAGACGAGACCCAATGTCCGGGTGATTACCGGAATTCTGGCCCAAAAGATTTTATTCGACAAGTCAGACGCCGGCCTCAATGCCAAAGCGGTCGAGGCTATCTTGGATGGTCAGGTCCAGACTTTCCACGGTTCCAAGGAGGTGATTCTAGCTGCTGGTGTGTTCAACACACCTAAACTATTGGAGATCTCAGGGATTGGCCAGAGTGAGATTCTCAAACAATACAGCATCACGCAGCTTCTGGAGCTTCCAGGAGTCGGCGAGAACCTCCAGGACCATCTGATGACCGGCGTTAGCTACGAGGTTAACGAAGGTATTGTGACTGGTGATCCCTTGATGCGACAAGAGCCCGCTGCTCTAGAGGCCGCCCAGAAGCTGTATGCTGAACAGAAAGGCCCTCTGTGCTTCGGTGGCACCCAGTCGAACGCTCTAATGCCCGTTGATTACGACCTATCCGAGATTCTTGACAATACACCCGTCAAGTCGCAAGACAAGGAGTTCATTGACACAGTCAGGGCCATCCACGAGAGGCCCAATGAGGCTACGGCGACCTGGTTTATGTTCTTAGCTCAGGCGAACCTCCACGAGGGCGCCAAGAGCTTCGTTGGAGATACCCTTCTCCCCCAGAATTTTGCTAGTCTTGGGTGCTTCCTCTCGCATCCCTTCTCGCGAGGCAATTCACACATCACTTCCACCGACGCCGCTGCCATGCCAAAGATTGATCCCAAGTTCTTCTCACACCCTGCCGACCTCGAAGTCTTTGCCCGCCACCTCATTGCGATTGAGGAGCTCCGTCACACCAAGGAGCTCTCTGCATACCTGAAGCCAGACGGCAAGCGCAATCACCCCGACTCGCATCACATCGACACGCTGGAGGGTGCCAAGCGCTACATTCTAGACACCGCCACAACCACTTACCACTCCTGCGGTACGGCCGCGATGCTGCCCAAGGAGAAGGGCGGCGTGGTTGACACGAAGCTCAAGGTTTACGGCACAACGAACCTGCGTATCGTTGATGCGAGCATCTTCCCCACTATTCCCCGGGGGAACAACATGTCGGCTGTCTATGCTGTTGCTGAGAAGGCGGCAGATATCATTAAGGGGCAGTAGAAAGGGTCTGCCTGTTGGTCCTCACAAGTCAGGCACTAGTACGGGCCTGATATTGTGGATGCAATTTCTGCGGTGAGGCATCAAGATGATCTAGACCTGCGTGAATACCCGAAAATTTGAATTGATGGGCATGGTTGCTCAGGTAGCCACTCTTGTGTACGAAGGCACTGAGGAGTAGGGTATGGGTACAATCTGGACACATCAACGAACTCAATGACACGTTGGACGATTTGTAACAGTCGTTACGACAGTTGAAGGAGGAAGGTTGGGGAGAAGAAACTTGCTGCAAGTATTGAGTAGAAACAATTCACGTGGCTACGAGGAAGATTGGGCAGCCTTACATATGTAACCCATGTAAAGCTGAAAGTTAGCGGATCGTCGCTGGTCAATTGATATGGGTACAATGAGTGATAAAACGGGCCAAGCCCCTCTGAGTTCCTACATATAGCGGCCTATCTCGACGTCGGTTTCCAGAAATTGTAAAGCCAAGCTTCGCATGTTAAGGCTCCCGTCATCGTTCCCCGACAAGACCGCTAAGATTCGCGAAAAGTTCAAGGAAGCATATCACCACAGTTGTATTAATTTCTCAAGAAATAGAATAACACGAACGCTTTCAGTACTCATTATCGAAACTTGGAGATTGTTCCGCCAAATCATGTCAAATCCTTCGCGTCCTCCGTTTTGGTTGCCGTTCGTCAAGATACAGCACCGTATGACTAGGGCATATTGTTGGGTTTGTTACTTCAGGTTGCCCAGGGACGCCATTAGATCCAAAGACGACATGAAATACTCCAAGCTCCCGCAGAGAGGGACCGGAATCCCTGGCGAGAATGACTGGAAAGAGGTCCCTGATCTCCATGCTTCGGCTGCGCGGGGTTGTTCGGTGTGTAGATCAATAGCCGAAGCATTTCTACAACAGTATGGGGAGCACGAATGCAGATACCTAAGCGATTTCGCGTGGAAGCTGGGCGGCTTTCATGTGCTACTCCCCGGCGATATTTCAGATTGGGATGTGTTCATCTCACATGGAAACGATCAGGGAAAGGCTCATTGGTATGACAAGTTTCTCAATCAGTGGGCTAGAGTGCATCCTTATGCCATTAGCCTGAAGGAGCCTACTGGCGATACAGGTAGCCCAGAGGCGCTGAAGCGGCTCGAGAGTTGGATTTCGAGATGTACACGGGAACATCGCCAATGCGGCGGCATTAAGGAGACTGAGATGCCTCGAAGACTGCTGAAGATTGAGAATAAGGATGGAGGTGGGCTACGCTTGGTTGAAACACACGGCAAATTTGGCAAATATGCTTGCTTGAGTCACAGGTGGTGCCACGAAACCGAGCTTGCATCTTTGAAAAAAACGAATCTTGAATCCTTCAAGCGGGAGATTCCACCTCATTTGGTTTATCCTTTGCTCAAGGATGTGATAAAAGTCGTGGCACACTGCGGTCTGGAATACGTCTGGATCGACTGCATGTGCATCATCCAGGATGATGCAGTGGATTGGGCGAGAGAAGCGGTATGTATGGCATCGATATACATGAACGCATTCATCACGATTGCTGCCACGGGCTGTGAAAATGGGGCAAATGGGTTGTTTCGGTCTCCATCAGGCTATCAGTCATGGATGATTAGGAAGACTCGCGGACGATCAGTTTTTACGAGACCTCGCCATGAGCTTCCAGTCCACAAGACCAGCGGCGTGGCTGCCACTTCCCCTCTTTTGAGCCGGGGATGGGTGTTCCAAGAATTTAAACTGTCGAAGCGTATTGTTCATTTCATGAAGGAAGAGCTGATTTGGGAATGTGCTGAAGGGAGGTGGTGTGAGTGTGAAGACGGAACTTTCCCGACACGGGACACGCGCGGAGGCATGATAGAATTCAGCACCGACACCAGTGACCTGCCATGGGACTGGGCTATCGAACAATACACGCGACTTGACTTCACAAACAGCTCTGATCGTCTACCTGCTATTGGAGGTGTTGCCAAAAGCCATGCTCAAAAGACTGGCAACAGCTATCTAGCTGGTCTGTGGATAGAAGAGCTGGAAAACGATTTGCTTTGGGTCCGTATTGGTAAGCTCAAGGGACGACCGAAAGCATTACAAGCACCGACCTGGTCCTGGGCATCTATAAGTTCTGCCATAGCACCAGCAGAGAACCCTCCCAATTCGAAGGATTCGTCAGAGTCTAAACCTTCGAAGAACTCGTCGGAGTCTGAACCCGATGGTGCTGGGGGGCAATTCAGACTTGCTTTTCAAGATATCGCTTCAGCCAGCGTGGTGTATCTTGACCATATGGGGAGCCCTCTCGAGGGACCTTCAACAGAGAATGACCCTCTGAGCAATGATCTATTGCCGGAAGACTCTGTAGATGAAAGCTCGGTTGAAGATGACTCTTTGGATGAACAGTGGAGTGACGACTCACAAATCGGAGACATCGCAGAGTCTCAGAATAACAATGGTGATCTTTCTAATCGGAAGATGAAGATAAGAGGTTGGAGCATACAGCCAGTAGAGGGCGGCGATGAGTACGGCTGTCTTGAGAAATCGCAGTTACAAGTACAGGCAATGACTGGCGAGGGTCTTCTTTTCGATAAGGAAGAATGGCGTACATCAATGAAGGGTCCAACACTTCCTACCGCTCATGGCACGCCAGACAGCTGGTACATGAAAGTCGGGAAAATCAACTTTTCAGTGAGACCAGATTATGACTTTTCTCAGCCTGGCACATATAATATTCGGTCGGGCTCGCCAGCGACATTTATGGAGATACGGAGGAGTATCGAATCTGCTGAGGGGATAGTTCTACGCTGTGTTGATCAAAAACATCAGATTTATGAAAGGATTGGCTCGTTCAATCACGGAATTCCAGAGAAGGTAGCTGCTCGTTTGTTATCCCAGACAACTGAGTCATACATTACGATCCAATGAGATAGTTCTCTATGTCGTCTACTTCAATTAAAATCAAGGAAATACTTCGAGCATACGTCCATTGCTAGTACCCCACGATCCCTTTACTATATGCGGTAGCAACGCAGATAACATATACCGATAGTTAGCGCATGACATGAACCTGTCTAGATAGTTTCATTACTATAGCAAAGGCCATAAACATGTTCAGGACTAATGAGAAGCTAATAATTACTCTCATCTCGTTTTATTCAAATTCTACCTCATACTGTTTAGTGCAATAGAACTCTTACACATAACAGCTAGACCGAAAAATCGTAGAATCTCACATCCCCATCAGCATCGCATCCACCAATCCACCCACGAGATTTGATCAAGGCTGTATCGTCTCCAGAGCCGCCTCCATTATACTGTGCGTAGGCATGCGGACCCCATCGATATTTGAGGTTGGATTCAAAATCGTACACTTCCAAGCCAGCAGTGATACGATATGCCAGCTTCAAGCCAGACTCCTCCTCGATCCAGAAAAGCTCCCACGACTCGAACCTGGGATCTTCCGTCTGCCAGCGCTGGATAACCTTTTGCTCATCCATGGAGTAGACCTGGACGATCCCGTAGGTGCCCACGGCGATGAACTTGCTGTCCGAGGTCCACGAGGCCGTGCGGACCCAGTCGCCGAAGTCGCTGATCACGATGGGTGGAGCGGTCACATCTGCGAGAGACCAGATGTTGACGGTGCCTTTTGCCGCCGATGTGCCCAAGACGACATATTTTCCGTCGGGTGAGAAGTTTGTCTTCCAGTTTTGCCCACCTGATGGACCAAACGAGTGCACTAACTCTCCCGTCGAGGCATTCCAAAGCTTCATGGACTGATCCCACGATGCAGTTGACACGAGAGTTCCATCTGGGCTGAAGGCTGCGCTTGTAAGCCTGTCCGTGTGGCCAGTAAGAACGATGTTCGAGTCTGGGTTGTCAACGTCGTAAATCGTCATCTGCCTCACACTGCGATCTGCGGAGGCCAGGAAGCGCCGTCCATCCCCGCTGAAAGGGCCGTGTCGCCCGTCAAATGTCGACAGAAGGCCTTCATACTGTGTCTGCTCGCCGATCACGGCTCCGTTGGACGAGAACCGGAACCGAGTGACCTTGTTGCTTGCGGTGTCCGACGTCGCAACAAATACACTGTATCCCTCATCCACGTCTGGGAAAATCGAGACGGTATTAGCGCTCCCAGAAGCATCAGTCTGAACACTAGACACAATCTCTTGGGTGCTGGTGTCGCGGAGCGTCACGTTTTTTCCAGATGCAATGACTATAAATTTCTCGTCTGCACTCACGTCGACGGCCGGTCCCTTGATATCAACTGCTGCGGCTGCCCAGATCTTGGGGTGGCCCTCAGCCCAGCTGGAGTTCACACCGTCTTTTTGAAAGTCGGTTATGAGTGTGCTTGTTGGGATGGGGGGATCTGCAACCTTGTCTACTCTCCTCTCGGTGGTCCTTGATGCCACCCGGGCATGCGCACCAGCGAGCAGCCCCAGGAGAGCAAACGTTGCACTATGAACATGCATAACTGAGTGAGTGAATATCTTAGAAGGTGAATAGACAAACCAGAGGCCTCAAGGTGATAGAATGGAGAGTGCCGTGGAACATTGGTAGCGTTAAATCTTGCAACTTAACCATCTAAGACTGCACGCTTTTTAATCAGTCCCCGAAGAGATGTCACGTAGTGTCCGGATTCTCGCATGGCTCTGTAACGGTCGATTCAGGATACCTTCTACTTCTAGAAGGTCCGACTATCAATACGCTTTCGGGCCGCTCATCCTGATTATGCTAAATCAAAGAAGGGCATGTTTCATTGCATATTGATTGACTTCTAGGAGTCGACGGGCTGACAGAATTACATATTCCCTTTTCAGTCATTGCGTAAGTTGGCATGCATAGCAGATTACAGCCTAAGTCATGACCCCAGGAACTACTATCTTCGATTGGGTTATGGACAGAGCAATGTATATTCTGTTCTCACTTGGATATTAAGGCAATGGAGCTTTTGTAGTTTCTCTAGCTTCTATTAAATGGTAGAAGACAACAACTTCCAATCTAATAAAACAACTCAGCAACACTTCTACTTTACGCACCCATTGAGTTAGGATTATCACATAGCCTAAGCTATAGCCAACCTAGAGTTACCTCGACATCTACATTCGGTCATATTCGTAACATATTCAATGGTGACTTTTTTATCGTCTACTACTCTCCTAATTCGGCTACTTGTGCAGATTGTTCCATTGGCCTCATCTCATCAACCATTAGATCGTACCATTTACATTCGAAGTACGTTCAGACTAAAATCAGACTTTTGATTAGAAATAGGGCATCCTAATCCAATGTCACCCACCTAAAAAATATATATGCAGACTGTTTTCAGACCGGAATCATCGTTCCGATTAGATCCTTTTACTATCATACTTTTCTATTTTAATGTAACACCCGGTTCAACTTATTCCGCTGCTACCCATCAACGGCGCAAATTCTGACTATATTTGGACTGGAATCAGCCTTCCGACCAGAACAGTTCATCATCATACTTACCCATGTTGATGTAACACACCATTGGTGTCGGGTCGCTGACGCCTACCCCGTCTACATTCCATTGCTGTCAGAGCGGAATTTAGGCTCTTTTCAACCGCATACAACATGCGAAGGTTCCAGCAGCAACGAGAACACAAAAGAGATCACTCCCGCACTCGAGATCGGGTGAGAACATAGTTTAATATCAACCCGAAAATAAGCCTTGATTGCATTTTAATCTTCATAGGCTTACCATGATGTTCTCGCTTCGAGGTGTTGGGTATCAGACAGTTTTCCTGCTGGGACTTCTCTTATCCCATTTCACCGTTGTCACTAGCCACTGCATGTAATGGAATTCCGAAGAGCTATCGTGCAAATGACTAACATACATAACTAGATGGCTTTCCTGTTGTTTTGATCAACGGCGTCGTGTCCAAATGGTGGGAGTTTGTTCGGTGAGCAATACCCTGTGCCCCAGGATAGATAGGCTAGAGCAGTCCTAACAATAGTAAGACCGACCGCCCTCAATGCTGCAGGGTACCAGTGGTTTCCAGACTTCAGCTGGGACTCGGAGCCCATGATCTGCGGCTGGGGCGGGACAAAGACCGGCCACCAGACTGGCACCGCCAAGATCGAGGCGGGCTCCGTCATCGGGTTCCGCGCATTCGCCTCCAACTACAAACAGGGCTATGTCCCCGAGCGAGAGGTGAGCTTTACAACACTCTTCGTCGAGTTGTGATTTGTCTGACAGTCGAATAGTTTGACCCCGCCATGGATGGCGTTGGTCATTCAGGCCCGGGCCAGGCATATATGTCCAAAGCGCCCGGAGCAATTGAAGACTATGAGGGCGACGGAGACTGGTTCAAGATTAGCACCAGTGGCGCATCTGATGGGATGCATTGGGACTCAGATCGCCAACCCGAGGTAGATCTCAGACGCTTTCAAACAATGGTGTGGTTATGTTACGACTAACTTGTCATTTAGATGAACTTTACTATCCCTGCATCTACACCACCCGGACTGTATCTTGTGAGGGTCGAGCATTTCAACATCTCACCTTACTTTAACATGACACAGATGTACGTAAACTGTGCTCAGGTAGAGGTGACAGGATCCGGCGAGGGTAAGTTGGACAACCATCTCATCTGGCAGGACTTCCCTCTAAGCTAACTTTTCCCCAGGTACACCTGGCCCGACTGTTAAGTTCCCTGGATACGACCCTGCTGATCCGGGTAGGTTTCCAGCAGAATGGCTGAATGCGATTGTGAGAAATTATTACTAATGTAACGTGCAGGAATCTGGCTGCCACAAGCCATGTTCAATCCCTACAAGCCGTCGGATCTCCTAAAGGCTTACAAAGGCCCAGGGCCAGAGATTTGGACAGGATAAGAAACCTACGGTCATCAGGCAAAATTAAATATCACTAGTATTCAAGGCAGATAAAGTATCAATACTAGAACAGACCAATGGGGAGTCCAGCAATCAAACACGCTTCTTATATATCCCGCCCATGAAACTTTCAACCGCGGTAGTATTCCATCTCTTGATACTCATCCCCCAGTGCTCTGATCGAAAAGTTTTGAGGATCTTTTGCGCTTAAAATGATTCTCCTATAAGTCACCAAAGACATATCGCGATCTTCGCGGATAGCAAGGATTATGTGTAGTGGCTGTTTGCATAATTAGACCAGAAACCATAGTCTGAGAGGGAGACGACTTACCTTGGAGGACTTGACGACGTCTAGACTCACGATGCTTCCTTGATCATTCAACTTTGCTATTTTCACATCTTGGCTGATCAGTGGGATGTTGAATCCTTCCAACCCTCTAGTTCCCGCCTCGCGGTAGTGAAACCATTCAAATGACAGCCCATCGCCGTCAGGATCCCAGCTGTTTGATGCATCGAGCACGACTTCACCTCCCTTGACGTAGTCTAATTTCAACGCTGATGGGCCGCATGTTCCATTGACCACTGCAACTGGTTGGTGGTTGTTCTTGCTATAATCAGAATTGATAGTCCACTGCATGCGGGCTGCAAAGTCGTATTGATAATCCTGTCGCCAGCGCCAGATGGTCGCGAAGCTGCTGATGAATGCTTCCCCGTTGGCACCTTGAACGTAGTCTGTGCAGTCCGCATACACTTGATGGGCCCCGGACGCGTCTGCCAGGGTGTATCGGCCTCCCCAACTTCCCCAGTCGGGGTGCTCAATATCTCCCAATCCGTTCTGAATAAGCGTCAGGAATGCTGGAGTGTCGCCTTCCATGATGAAAGTCCAATTCAAATAGTGTGCTCCTAGAGCGCCGATCCGAATATTATTCTCCAGCCAGGCATTTGATACCAACGACGTCTCAGGTCCTCCTTTGTCAAAGTGCCTGTACTCTTCTCCAGAGATGCCGTTCCAGCTTGCACGTGTGTACTCGTTGAACCCGTGGAGAGAGACCACCATGAATAATTTG